CTGCCTTGGTCGCGTCCGTGAGCGAAAGCATCGTGCCGAGCACTTCCAGGGGCCCTCCCTCCCACAACACATTCAGCGAGAGACCGTTGGCCAAAGCCACGTCGCCTCGTTGCCGAACGTCGGGGCGATTCGTCTGCGCCTTGCACTTCGCGGGGTGCAACTTCAAGCCGCGCTTCAGCAGCGAATCTCGCACGGCAACGACCATGCGCTTCAAGGAAATCCAGGATCTAGCGACGAGCGTCATGTCGTCTGCGAAGGCAACGTGCGTGAGGCGCGTCCCATCGACCGCTCTCCCTACCTCCGTGCCGTAACCTCGTCGCTGCCACGCAGCGTCAACTTCACCCAGCACCTGCGTCATCACCAGGTTGAACAGCACGGGCGAAAGAGGGTCTCCCTGACGCACTCCCCGCTGCACCTCGAAGCGACGACTGTCTGTGCCTGGATCTACTTGCACATAGGCCGACATATTTTGGTAGAACTTACGAAGAGCCGCCACCACGGCAGAATCCACGTTCGCCAACATGAGTGCATCAAAAAGCTGCGCATGATGCACTTTGTCGAAAGCCTTCTCGACGTCCAGGGTCGCTACCCAGAGCTCTTCTCCCCACTCTCCAGACTTCTCAACAACCATTCTCAAAACATGCAAAGCGTCATCACAACCCCTACCACGACGGAAGCCATGTTGTTCTTCCCGCAACTGCTTCTCCACACTGTCTTTGATACGGTCGTAAAGCACAAGGCTGAACAACTTCGCCAGGACTGGGATGATCGAGATAGGTCGGTAGTTCCGTAAATCGTGCCTGGCACCTTTCTTGAAGATGACAGACAATCGCGCGACCTTCCACTCTCCCGGCGCGTCCAAAGACCCGCCAAGGATATCCGTGAAATACGATGCGATGGTGCTCAGCAGCTCCTCGTGCCCAGAGCGGAGCATTTCCGCCACCAATCCGTCATCAGCGCCCGTTCTTCCTCCTTTCATCCGTTTCAGAGCCGCTGTAACCTCCGCAGGTGTAATCGGTGAGACAGCTCGGGGTTCGCCTTGCCACTCGTCATATCCAGCTGCCTGAGCATCCCGGTACAAGTCTTCATAGAAGCAGGCGAAAGCCTCCGCGATACCTGCACCATCTGTCACCAGCTCCCCCGCCAGATTTTCGATCGACGTGGTCCTCTCGACGCCAGCATGTCGCTGTTGGATCCTTTGGAGGCTACGTAATCCTCGGCCTTGTGCAGCTGCTTCGCGGATCTCCCTATCATAGCGGCGACGTCTGCTCGTGCGGAGAGCCCTCCACAAACGTTTTGACAACGATTTCCGTCGTTCTGGGTCGTGCTCCTGCCGCCTCATAGCGAAAAGCTCAACGACATCATCGCTATGTCGACATCATCGCTCAAATTACTGGCCTCGAGCTGAGGCCTCCATATTATATATTCTCTCCATGGGAGCAGCCAGCCGCAGCTCGTATGGAGGGGCGGCCCCCGATGCCGAGGGACAGCTCACCACCGTAGAGTCAGGAACCGCAAGACTTATACGGCGGGGACCTTCCGACGGCCCCTTAGGGACCAGTTCTGTCCAGGAACCCCTGGCACTTCTTATTCGGGGATTTACCCTGGGGGAAAAAACGGCGGATAACCTCCCGACCATTCTTAGTGGGACGCATGCTGGGACCAGCCAACTTTAAAGCGCGGCCCTGGGACCACCCCCCTACACTTCAAACAAACATAGGTCTGCTTCCCAGGGACCGCGCACACAACGTCAACCGAGGCAGGAGTTCGAGCAAGTCCAGCCGCGACGACGCGGTGCCCCTGAGGATCTGTGAGCAGCTTGCCTATCAGGCGTGACACGCCAGCACATCCTGTCATATCAAGTTGAGAACGCAAATTACCACCGAGCGATAAGCATCTGATGCAATGCCACCCCGCAGGCATATCGATCCACGAATGCCACCCCGTCCTGAGCCTGGAGGTGCCGCGCCCCAGGGCGCGGGGAGGGCGGGGCCACCTGAGGTCATTCCTATACAGCGGCAGCACAGCAGCGGTTATCTTGACAAAGTTCTTCGCCCTCTCAAGGGCAAAATTGACCGAAGACAAAAACGCAGGGTCAACACCTTCGTGCTGCATCAAAGCCTTTTTTGCATGATGATCCACAACCGGATTCGCAACAGCAACCTCTCTTTCATCCAACGGTAAAGCAAAGATGGCTTCCTGGGTCCTGTGGGCTTTCACATAGAGCCATTCCGTGCCTTCGAGGCTCTGCGCAAAAAGACGATTTCCTGCAAACTTGGACGAGGCTGCCAACTGCTGACTGACACTGCGCTGCATGATTTTGATTGCTGTCATGCAATCTGCTCCAAGCACCGACGGTCTGTTTGCCACCTGGCTGCAAAGAGCAATCGCCACATGCTCAGACATCGCGGGGGTCTGAGGAAAGATGCCGTGGATCACGCCACGCATCACAGCCACAGGCTCTGGCGCATCACCCCTGTCGGGCAGCACACCTATAGCCCAAGCCGCCATCTGTAGTGGACGGATCGGAGGCTTGAAACAGGAGCCGTCAGACGCCAATCGGAGCACCTGATCACTGCAAATGTTTCGCAATGATTTCGGGACACATGTCTAGTGGGTTGCCCAAGACATCAAACAGCTCAACATCCGACGACGTACTTGGCTTGGGCAACTCACTGTCAGGGTAAGCAAAGATCCCACGCGTGAAAATCTCTAGGTCAGCATCTTCGAGCGCCGCCTGGATATGCTCAGGCGTGGCACCCGATTCATGTCTAGTTATCTGGACATCTCTGCGTGTGCATGTGTACAGCCTGTGGTGGAGTGTGTCGACCTGTCCGCAACGACGGCCCCGATCATTGGTCCACACTCCACTGCACCCACAGCATTTCACTAAAAACTTGGTGTGTCTACCTAATCCCTTGGCTTTTGGCCCCAACCGATCCCGCACGAGATCCAAGGTAGCCCTGTGCCCAGGGGGTAGCCTAACTTCGCCGCGAACGCCATCTCATGCTGGCGTTGGATACTGAGGAGGAGGAGGAGGAGGAGGAGGCGGAGGAGGAGGAGAGGAGGAATGAGGAGGATGAGAATGAGCCTGCTATCCCTCCTTTCCCCTCCCTCCCTCCCCCGCCGCATGCCTCCCCCGAACTTTTTTCGCGCTCCCCCTCCTGAGTCACTTCGGGCGCACGTGTATGTGCAATTGCTGTGGCAATTTGAAACACGCGTTCACGAGCCACTCAAGTATTTGCAGTCGCGCGTCGAGAGAACTTGCATCCTGACATCTGCACAATGCTTCAGCGAATCATCTACAGGAATGTGCTCCCGCACATACAACCTCACACACACAGACACACACACACACGCACCCTCGCGCCTCGCGCGACGGAGAGGCGGAACAAGTCAAGCACGGCAGACGACACCTGGGCCGGTGCGCGCGCGCCGGTTCAGAGTGAAGCGGCCCTGGGACGCACAAAGAAGTAGACACAAATAGCAGGGTTCCCCATATGTTCCTATATTCTCTGGGCTTTTGTCTTCCCCGCCACTTCCCGTATTTTCGCACATTTTCCTGGAAATCGACGATTCAATGTATCTGTGTGTTTTTTCCCCTCCTGACAAGGGGGGGGGCAGCACATTGCCGTCAAGTCGTGAGCGGCGGGGAGGAAGGAGAGCGCACTTGGCCGCCACCCGAGGGGACGTCCCTCAGGGAGGGCGCTGCGCGCGGACTCGGCGCGCAGCAAGGTCTGGAGTCATCGACCACGACACACAGACACAAAGACACTGAGACACACAGACACACGCACACACACACAGACACACACAGACACACACAGACACACACACACACAGACACAGACACACACACAGACACGCACACACACAGACACACACACACAGGCACACAGACACACATACGCACAGACACACAGACACAGACACACACACACACACTTACACACACACACACTTACACACACACTTACACACACACTTACACACACAGACACTTTTTTTGTACGAGCGCAAGACAAGCCCTGTGGCGAGAGGCGGAAGGGAAAACCAGGAAGGACGGGGGGAGGGAGCCGGGGGAGGGAGGCGCCCGCGCCCGCGCGTGCGCCAGGCCCGGCCGCGGCGGCCGGGCCAGCACCGAATCAATCGGGCGCGCCTGGGCGAGCAGCCAAGCGCTCTCGAAGGCCGCCCGCCGAATGAATCGGCCGCCGCCACACACGCACACGCACGCACACCTGCCGGCGAGCACAGAATCACACTTGCCATCCCCGCCCTGCCATGATGACAAGGACCGCGTCAAAACGGAACCATGCGTCTTTCATCGCTATGATCGGCGAGTGGTACGCCAAGAGCCGCACCTGCACAACCCGATTCCAAGCACTGACTTGCAAGCTGCTCGAACTACGCCCATCGTCACGACATCCATTCCGAAAGCCGTCTCACTACACTGGTAACTATATAAGACGATATAACTATACCTGCCAACATGTCGAACTGAATGTCCTCTGTATGCCGTATACGACCTGAAATGCCTAACGGTAAATGTATGGGCACGTATGCGTCGCATGGCCCGAGCGCAGCCTTCCGACCGCCCATGCCGAACTACATCTATGAATGCTAGCGCGCGGACCCTTAACGGACTCCTGACGTGGAAGCAACGCGGTGCAACCCCACCAAGAATTCAACCATAACTTATGCTGCATCCTCGAGGAACATTGTCTGGTCCCGTCGCGCCGCCATCCGCACCCGAGCCGCGCCTGAATCAACAACTAATCCGCGTCGACACCTTGTCGGAGACACGCGGGATCTGCGCCGAGTCCGCGTCGGACATACGCCGGGCACTGGAAAAAGACAGCCGTTCACGGGAAAGACCCCCCCCCCCCGGAAAGACAACGTAACATTCGGCCACGAATGGGTTTCCCGACCTGACCCTGAGGAACATCCCGAAAACCAGAGCCTCTTCCCTTCTGAGCCCCCGATGGTCCTTCTCTCAACATCTGGACTGCAAGTTACCGACCACAGGACGCCAGCCCGCAGTGCACCAGCGCGCGAACGGACGACTCGGGCAGACAGGACACCGCAGGGCATCAAACACAGGGCACCGGCCCGTAGCCCATAGCGCACCAGCCTATCGTGAACCAGTGCGCGAAAGACCAACTGCGGCACACAGGGCCAGTCTCTTACATGATGAATGCGGGCCCTAAAAGGCAAGCTCTATGTAACAACATACCCTACCGAGTGTCAAGTTCACAGGAATAGCATGAATCAATCCATCTCCTCGCCGACCTCCTTGCCTCTCCGGCCCACGCCAAGATCTCTAGTGCGAACAACGCGCAGAACGAGTGCTCCACTATTTGGAACCCGATGTCTGCGTCGCTCAGCATCACTGCGGGGTTGCAGTCCAGCCTTAGTATGAGACAAACATCGTGCCTGACACACTACGCTATTGCAGAGAACGGATCGGATCCCATCAAGACTAGAATCGATCGGAAGCGGATAACTGCGGCCCAGCCGAACAGCAGATAGGCAAAAACAAGTCTCACCGCTGAGCGCATTTGTTTCCTCCGCCACCGTGCCTGCACGGAGTGGGGCGTGTCTCCGGTGCTGTGTTCGGTCTCCAGACGGCCAAATGATGTCCAAGACGGCCTCCAAGGCAGCCGAGGTGACGCAAAAACGGCTCAACGTGGTCCAAGACAGCTCAGAAGGCTCTAAAGCTGGCCTCAAGACGGCAAACGATGCCCCCACGACAGCCAAACATGGCTCCAAGAGGCCTTTCAGGGGAGCCCGAAGCAAAAACCATTGCTTCCCGATTGGTGTTCGAAAACTGCTGGGGTTCTTAACTGTTTGGGCTTCTGGTCGCCCAAGACGGCCCAAGAGGCCTCCAAGATGGCCCCAAGACAACCCATGCGGCCCCCAAAAGAGGGCCCCAAGTCGGCCCAACAGGACCCCAAGATCGCCCAAGAGCCTCCCAAGAGGGCCCAAGGACGGCCCAAAGCGCTCTTAGAGGGCATCAATACGGCCCCGATAGGCCCCCCGAGACGGCCCCCGAAAAAGTCAGACGGGACAAAGGCCCCCTACCCCCTCCCGTGGGTGGTCTGGAGGGGGGGCTTCGCGGGTCGTTGGCGTCCAGGATGTCTCAAGATGGCTTCAAGAGGGCCTCGGCGATCCCAAAACGGCCTCCAAGATGGCCCAAGAAAGCGCAAGATAGCTCAAGCTGGCAATCAAGATGCCTCCAAGCGCTCCAAGACCGCCTCAGGACGGGTTTAAGCGGCCAGGGCCTCCACAGGACGCCGCCAATCAAATCCGCCGATCCGGCGTCTGAGCTACAAGGAGCCTCAGCAACAGCTTCAGCCTTGAGCCTAAGCAAGAGTTTCAGCTCTGCTTAGGGGGGTCGCCGGGGTGGCTCTGCCAGGGAAGGGGGGGAGGGGGGGGGTGCCCCTGGCGTTTTCTTTCATGATTTGCGCATCCGGACCCTCCCGGGGAAGGGGTGGAGGGGGGGGGGGGGCGGGGTGCGGTCTCCCATCTGGCGTTTTCTTAATGATTTGCGCATCTCCAAAATGTTTCAGGTGGTCCCAGGGACCCCCCTCAGATCTAGCCGGTACGGGACCCTCCCCTCGGAACCCTCCCCGGGCACCCCCCGGGCACCGCTCCGCGCACCCCCCCCCAGAGGAGAAGAAAGAGGACCAGAAGAATCGAGGAGGGAGGAGGCCACAGAGCCGCGAAGATCACCGAATCCGGAGCCCCCCGGATCGGCGGCACTGGCCAGAGGCCATTACAATACTTTAAACACATGTAGAAGTCAGTGATTGGTGCATTCTCACCCTTTCGCTTCTGATGGCCCTCCGAGGCCTCACGATGGCTCCACGAGGGCCCAATAGAGCACAACGGGAGGCCCAAGAAAGCCCCACAACAGATCCAAGAGCGCCCAAGAGCGCCCAAAGAGCGCCTTAACAGGGGTCCAACAGGCGATGGCGGGCTCTCTAGAGGGTTGCGCTATTTTGTGCCCCCCTTCTTTGATCGAACTCCTCCAAGACGGTCCAAGTCAACATGGCCTCCAACATGCCTCCAAGAGGCTCCGAACATGACGCCAAGACGGGTCCAAATGGTTTCCAGGCATCCTAAGACCGCCTGCTAGAGGACACAATTCTTCAAGAACCTTCCGGAAATCAATGAGTCTTGCATTCTCGCTGTTTTGTTGCCGATGTGCCTCGGAAGCCTCATAGAGCTCCCAGAGAGCCCCTCAGTGGCCAGTCTCCTCCTTTTCTTCATATTATCTATATTCTCCTCCTTCTCCTATTCCTACTCCTCCTCCTTCTCCCTGCCGCGCGGACAAGGATGAGGTAGAGTTCACGACCTGCACAAGATAAGACGGTTCGCCGAACTGCAGTTGGCGTGAACTCGACTTCCCCCTACCGCGCAGACGAAGACGATGTCGAGTTCGCGATCAGTCTCAAGCCAGACCAGTCGTCGGTGCTGCGCCGTTCCTACCCTCAATCTCCTTCCTGCTGCGCCGTTTCACAAGCGCAATGGCGGGGTTAGCCGCAGACAGTCGGATAGGAGCGAAAGCACTTGCTCCAGTCAAGCTGCAGTCGCACCATGAACATCACTTCCTTGTCTGTCCGACATTGTGCGATCAGGCCAAGCAGTCAGGATGACGAATGTGCATGTGAACCAAGACCTCTTGGGGCCTGCAAGCGCGTGCATGACCGAGGCGGTGGCTGGTAGCTCGAAGCGTATGGTTGTTTCAGGGAAGCGCGAACCCCCCAAAATCGTCATCCCTTCGGGACAATTTTTTATTGGAGATCTTCTGACCCGGGTCCATCCAGACCCGGGTCAGTGAGGCCTTGCAGAATCCTGCCAAATCCTGCACCCAAGCCCGGGTCAATGCGAAGGACCCTGCAACGTCATGCAGGATCCTGCGCCCAAGCCCAGGTCAATGCGACCCTGGCGCTGCGCTCTGGCTGACCCCCGTTTGCACTGACCCCTGTCTCGAGGCTCCCGACTTTACTTCCAAAGGTCTCCGCCGGCGGAGGCGGCCCCGTTTCGCTCCGCCAGCTTCCGCCGGCTTTCCGCCGCCGTCCGCCGAGGAACAGATGGCAACTTCTCGATCCCTCGAGGGCGAGACGCCGTTATAGTTACAGTGGAGTCTAGTCCACAAGAAACCTCCCACAAGAAACCCAACCCTGAGACCCCAGGGCGTCCATTGATTTTCGGCTTGGGAGCATCACGCTTTCCATCGCAAAATCACCGAAAACCACGAAACCCAGGGCACCCTGGAGGCAAGCAGAGTCTTTCCTGGCATGGGCCTCCACTGTATCTGGAGGCTTGCACCTGTGGCCAACAGGGGATCGGACATGGTCGGGACTTTTTCCTCGGGCGTGTCGCGGCGGCAGCCCCGGCGCCACGCTGTGCCTTGCCAGCGGATGGCGGACCGTTCCGCATGGCGAGAGGCTGGGAAAGCCTCGTGACGTTGCCGCGCGGGGACCGGCGCACGTGGACGGCACGCCGCGCTGCAGCGCGGTGGGACGGCACCGGCGGATCGACACGCTGAGCCAACAAAAATCCCCACCGTGCGGTCTGTGGGGTGGCGCGCGCGACGCGCCTGCGAAGCCTGGGGGGGGGGGCCCAGCGCAGATCCAAGAAAGCCGCGCGGAGCGCCAAAAGTTTATGTCGATGCCGTTGTCTCGTCTTCGACGGTGAGGTGGCGCGTGCGCGACGCGCCCGCGACGCCGCGCGCAAGAGCGACGACCCTCGGTGCCAGCGGCGCCCTCCCCCCGCGAGGCGCGACGTCGTCGTCGTGGTCGGTGCCGTCGACGTCCTCATCCTCGTAGACGACCTCGTCCTCCTCGTCGTCGTCGACGACGTCGTGGTCGTCGTCGTCCTCGTCGTCGCCGTCCTCGTCGACATCGTCGCGGTCGTCGTCCTCGTCGGCGTCCTCGCCGTCGGCGCTGCCGCGGACGAGCGGCGGGCGCCGCGGGGTCCGCGGCCCCCGTTGGGCCCGTGGTGCCACGGCGTCGCAGGCTGGGCTCGGGCGCGGTGGTGCCGCGGCGTCGCCTATTGCAGGGCGACGAGATCTATACTTAGTTAGGAGGCAACAACTGGGAGGTTTTCGTCGGAAGGATTACAAAGGATTTGGGAGCTGTTACGCCAGAGTGGGCCTCGGATTAAGCGGGATGACGCCGCAGCAATCGGGATTAAGCGATAAGCCGGATTAAGCGGGATTAAGCTGGATTAAGCCGCATTTCGGACCAGGGCGAAAACAGAATTTGACCTCCCAGGAGTTGCACCCGAATATACTTAGGTCGGGCATGTCCTCCTGCTGGCAGACTCTGGAAGGAAATAATGCAGAATCAGACACGGATCGAAAAGAGTCGAAGGAGCAAAAAGAATCGTCACCTGACTATGTTTTTGAACAACTCTTGATCCTTCTATGCAGGAGAAATGTTTAAACATAGCGGCAATAGGAAGATTTGGCAAACATTTCCTGCCGATATTGGTGGCCAACTGGGTTCCCGGGTCTCCGGTTCCAAGTTCCCGGGTTCCTGGTCACTGGTTCTGGTCACTGGTTCCGGTCCGGCTTCGGTGGGTTCCGGCTTCCTGGGTTCTTGGTCGATCTCCTCATCGATCTCTTCATCGATCCCATGCCAAACCATCCACGGATTGGGGCTTTTCTTTGGTGGAATGTTTGGACTATTCTTGAACATTCCTCCTGTAGAGGGTCCGACCGTCCCAACATTCCTAGAGGCCTACCACGACATGTTCTTACAACCCAGAAGTGTCATTACCCTCCTCCTCCTCCTCTCCTCCCCCTCCTCCTCCTCCTCCTCCTCCTCCTCCTCCTCCTCCTCCTCCTCCTCCTCCTCCTCCTCCTCTCCTCCCTCCTCCTCCCCTCCTCCTCCTCCTCCTCCTCCTCCTCCTCCTGCTTCTCCTCCTCCTCCTCCTCCTCCCTCGCGGGCCCGGGACGCGCCGAGACAGACCAGTGACCAGTACTACGGTGGGGGCATCCTCCTCCTCTGCCTCTCCTCCTCCTCCTCTTCCTCCTCCTCACTTCTCCTCCTCCTCCTCCTCCGTTTCCTCCTCCTCCTACTTCTCCTCATCTTCCTCCTCCTCCTCCTCCGTCCTCCTCCTCCTCCTCTTCCTCCTCCTCCTCCCTTTCCTCCTCCTCCTCCTCCTCCTTCTCCTCCTCTTCCTCATCCTCCCTTTCCTCCTCCTCTTCCCCCTCCTTCTCATCCTCCTATTCCTCCTCCTTCTCCTGGCTGGCGGCGGTGGGCATCGGGACGCGCAGAGACAGACAAGTACTACGGTTGGGGGCATTGGATAAGGAACCTTTAGACAGGCAGCCCAGGGTCTGGAGGCTGGTGGAACTCCAATCGAAGCTTGGCCATGGATATCACCGTCGCCCTCATCAGATACGGAACCCTCCAGGGTCTGGTGCCTCCTGGGCACGTTCCTTAGCGAACGCCTCCACCGTATATGTCCACCTTGGTGGCGCGCGTCCGACCCGAACATCTGGTATCCCGAGCGGTGTGGCCAGAGAGCGCCCACCGCGACGCATATGCTACAAGATTTCTCTGTGCGCGCGTCGCCCCTTGGGGGGGGGGCGGACGCACGTATAGTAGAAGTATGTTGGGGTGACGCCGAGGCATGTCCAGATCTCGTTGCCCTACAATGTGTAGGGGCTCTCGACCACAAGACACCTGCCACAAGAATCCCAACCCCGAGACCCCAGGGCGTCCATCGAGGCTTGGCGTGGGGACGTCACGCTCTCCATGGCAAAACCATCGGCAACCCAAAGACACCCTCGGGCACCCTCAGAAGCAAGCCATCGTAGCGATCGTCCCCGTGCCACCGCGTTGCGCGGCGCCGCGACGCCGCGGGCGCGTCGTGCCGTGGAGTCGCGATGCCGAGGCGTCGTTTTTATCGGAGTGCCGTCGTGCCGGGGCGTTGCCGTGCTGTCGGGGTGCCTCGCTCCGCCGCGCCGCGGTGCCACTCTGCGGGGGTGCCGTGAAGTCGCGGCCGCGTATCTGTGAGCTGCTCTGGACGCCACCACACACACGCCAGCCGCGGCCCAAGCGCAGACCGCTCGGGGCACGGTTGCCACCGATAAGCCATGGCGCCGCGGCGGCTTCCCGACTGAAGGGGATGGGGCCCTGGAATGCTTTGCGACGCTGCCCCTGTGGGGCTGTGACTGTGCTTGGGGTGGCGTGCGGTCGGCTTGCGATGGCGACCCCTTCGGTCTCCGATTGTCTTGCGATAGTTTCCCAATATCCTTGCGACTGTGCCCCCGCCCATCGTAACCCCAACCCGCGGGCCCTTCTGAGAGCCTAGGGGGTGCCTTCTGGAACCATCAGGGCGTCTGAAAAAGCCTCAAGATCACTTCTACCGAAGCACGGTCCGCATCGGCCTCCGGGTCCGTCTCCTGAAAACCAGATGCTTGCACGGCCAAACTTGGCAATGCGTCGAACCGCGCAGAGTTGGCCCTGCCAGATCCCTGCGACATCACTCTCCAGCCCCCGTTTGTGCCTTCCCCCTAGCGTGACTGGAGTGGAATGAAGAGATGTGGTTCGCAGGGGAAGGGGGAGGAAGAGGAGGAGGAGCTCGACGTTGACGACGGAGTTGAAGGAGGAGGACGAGAGGAGAAAGAAGCAGTGACAACGGAAGGAGAAAGAAGAGGAGGGAACAATTCGGAGCAGGGGGAAGAAGAAGAGGAGGGAAAGGAGGATGAGGTGGGAAAGGAAAAGGATTGCAGGATGAAGTTGGACAACGAGGCCGAGAAGGACGCAACAGGTGGTGAGGGAGAGAAGAGCACGGGGGAGAGCGGAGGGAGGAGGGGGGTGGGAGGCGGTAGGGGAGGACGGACGATAGAGAGGACGGGGGACGGAGAGGGGAGAAGGGACGAGAAGGTGGAGGGATGAGGACTGGGGAGGGCGGACGGGGGCAGGGAGGATGGAGGGAAGGCGGAGCCCGGAGCAATCCGGGCGGGGCTGAGCGGCGGTTCTCCACGGCTTGCCAGACCGCGTTGGCGCCGACCAGGATCGTCGCCCAGGTCCTGTGAGCAGGGCTCTCGCCCGCCCTCCTTCCCCCTTGCCGTCGCTCGGACGTCCATTTCCCGTGCATGTGTCGGTTTCGTGCGTTTTTTGTTGCTCGATGGTCCAGGATGGTCCTCGATGGTTCTCGCCGAGAACAAGTGCACACGTCCGAGCGAAGACAAGTCCCCATCCTCACCTTCTCCTCGTCCTCTGCCTCGAGGCGCACACCGAGCTGCGCCACATCAGCTTGCTGTCATACTTGCGCACGTTCGAGCACGTCCTGCTGCTAAGACTGCGGCCGGACTTAGCCTTACGTGACAATCAGCCTTGATTGGACAGGACACGCGAGAGGACACAAGACCCTTCCGAGAGCCACATCGCCATATGAGTGTAAGAAGGCACGTGTCGCGAGGCACAGGACACAAGGGTACCCTTGAGCTGGCAGGGTCGACCTACTAATCCGGGCCGACAGTACACATGTAAAACACATCGCCCGCCCAACGGGCCGAGGCGTGCTAAACCCTCAGGCAACTGGTGCACCGTACTGCTAGCTCGCGCGTGCGAAGCGCCAACTCCAGGGGGCCCCTGGACGACAAGCACCCCAGGAGAAACCGGGGAAGTGCGGGTCAGAGATGGCTTTCCTCCTGGGTGCGGCGTCTCAGGCGCTCCAGGGCGTTCCACGAGGACCCCACACGAGTCCCCGAGTCCCCAAGACGGTGCAGGAGGGCTCCGAGCCGCCGGCCGATCCGTCCAGGATGCCCAAGATGGTCTCCAGACGGCCGAAGACGCCTCCAAGAGGCGTCCCAAGAGGGCCCCTGGAAGCAAAACTGATACTTCCCTCTAGTAGGTTGTTGAAGGATTTGGCGATCTCTCCTCTTGGGCTTCCCGGCGCTCCAAGACAGCCCCAAAGCGCCTCAAGAGACCTAAACAGGGCCCCCTGACGGCCCGAGAGGGTCCCAAGACTGCCCAAGAGGCCTCCAAGACGGCCCAAGAGGCCGCCAAGACGGCTCCAAATGGCACAGACAAGGGACCCGGACTGATGTTTCCAGCCCGAGGCCCCCAAGAGACCTCCAGGAACCACAGAGGCCCCAAACCTGCCCCCGAGAGGCCTCCAAGAGGCCCCCAAGAGCCCCGGAAGAGGCCCCCACCAGGAGGTTCCCAGAGGGCCCCGTGAGGCACCAGAAAATCCCCAACAAAAATACCACCCAAAGGCCCCCGAGGGGCCTCCCAAGGACCCGGGAAACCTCCTGCGACCCTCCCCGAACATGCAGGCGGATCCAGGATCCCAGAAGATGCGTCGCAGAGAGGGACGAATGAGGTCCAACATCCTCGCAAGCAACAGCGCGCCTCCCGGAAATTCCAACATAGCCACATGCGGGCCCCCAAACAGCGCCCAACTCCATGGGTAGCAAGCCCAACTCACGATGGTGCCATACACCAAGGACGGCATCCAACCAAGCCCCGCAGAAGCAACTGCACAGGAACTGCTCCGCCTCCAAGACCGCTGACGTGACGCCACTGGAAAACGACCACCGCCTGCCAGCGATGCCACATTGGAGGCCGGCGGCATGAGCGAAGCGATCAATGAATGCAACGACCCTCTGGGCCGCCAGAGTCCGCCATACTTGAGGCGGGAGCCAATAGACGATCGAGAAAGGGCTCGAGAGGCGTCGCTGGCTGCCACATCTCAAGCGCCGCTCCCTCCTCCCTCCTCCCTCTCCAACCGTGCGATGTTCCGATGTTTTCCTTGCGCGGCCCCCCGAAACTCCGACAATTTCTCCGGGACCGGCTCTTCATCTCGAATCGTCATTTTCTTGTCGTCGAAAGCTTAACGACTTCTGCCGGCCTTCGACTCGCGCTGGAGCGGCCGCGAGTTGCTCCAACGCTCCTTGAAGATACTTGGATTTACCTGGATTCACCTGGATTTATCTGGAGTTATCTGCATGTTCCTGGATGTACCTCGATTTGTCTGCACCTGGATGGCGAGCGTCCAGAACGGTTTCCCCAATGTACATCACCAGCGTGCTGCTTCCGGCCGGGGCCCCCAGTGTGCACCGCGCACCGTCCCCACTGCGCACCATCCCCCGTGTGCACCACCCCTCCCCGAGTGCGCACCACCCCCTGTGTGCACCATCGCCGCCCCCGGTGTGCACCACTTCGGCCCTCGGCGCTGAGAAGATCTGGTGGTCGAAGTTGCAGGGCCCATTCGGGCGCCACCAACCAAGTGCACCGCGAGGGGGGGCCCCTCTAACGTTCCCCGGCGTGGCCAGGGAAAGCAAAACACGAACCCTGCAGAGGGGGCGCGGGAGCAAATAGCTAGAAACGGGGGGGGGGACAGGGAGGAGAGAGGAACGAGAGGGAGGAGCGCGAGGGGAGGGGGGAGGGGGGGCAGGGAGGGGACGCGAGGGCGGAGAGGAAGAGGGGAGGGAAGGCAAGGGGGGAGAGGAAGGGACCGACAGGGACGGGAGAGAAGGGCAAACCACGAGAGGGCAGGGAGGGAGGGCAAGGGAGGAAAATGAGGGGGACGATGGGGGGGGGGGGGCACCAGATTTCGGCACACGGAGCCCTCCCGAGCAGGACTGGGGCACGCTCTCGACCGAGGCACGTCCGTGCGGGCCTGGCCCTCCGCCAGAGGTCCCCCTTGCGGCCGCCCCCAGAGCGCCGGCTCGGGCTCGCGGCCCCGCCCCGCCCCGAGCGTCCGTTCGCACCCCCCCAGGCCGGCAATGGGGGGGAAAGCAGCAACGAGGCGCAGGAGAGGAGAAGAGAAGGAGGGAGCGAGGGGCAAGGAGGATCAGGCAAGGATGTCGAGAACGACGAAGAGCAATATCAGGAGGGAACGGGCATGGGAGGATGAGTGATGATGATGGCTGTTGTGCCCCAAACGCGCACGCGCGCCCGAATGGCCTCTGCTCGGCCAAAACCTACGCCCACAGTGACGCGGGTGCGCGCGACCCGCAGACGACATCGAAGGCGCGCGGCCAGCACAACGGAACACGGCGGGGCTGTCGAGAACAGCCACCGCCGCCAAGCAAGAGAAAGGGCAACCATGCACAGGCCAGCATCTGCACATGTACACACAAGGCAATAACCAAAAATCCAAATAAAATTCTGAAGAAGCAAAAAATTGAAACAGAGTCCCCAATGAGCCTGCGTGGCGACGCATCAGCGACCTCGGCGATGCATCGCCGACGTCGGCAATGCATCGGCGCCGCTGGCGCGGAGAAAATCTGGCGCCACATCGACCGCCATCGCCGATGCGTCGGCGATGCGGCGCGATCCGCCGACCCCACTGTGGTTTCCACCCCGACTTTTGCAACGATCAAGAACGCGCGCTCGTTTTCCGTGGCAACACCAGACCCGGCACACGTGCGCCGTAAATGCACAGGATAAGCGGTTTCAGCGCAGGCCCAAATCTGATGTGCCCTGAGCGCGAGATGCAAACATACGAACACGACGGGAAAAGGAAATTAGGTAACACATGCCCCAGGGCCCCATCTGGAAGGCCTCGCCCAAAATGGCAATAGAGGTTACAGATACCGCTGCTGACCAGACAGACGTCTTCCTGGGTACGCTGTGACCCAGAATTTCGAAGCGAATCCAGCGGTGGCGACGAGGGCATCCCAGGATGTCCCCAACAGGCGAAAACGAGGGACGGATACCCACCGGTCGGAAGAAGTACTTGGAAGCATGACATCGGGAGGCGGATGAAGTAGATTGAGTTCGAGCCCGCCCCAAAGAGAAACAACGAACAACAAACACATAGATCGGTTCTTAAAACAGGAAAGCACTTGAAGCATTTTGTGTCGCGTGAGCCCCAAACCAACTATTTTCAACGGCTGGCGTATAGTGGAACGCAAGTTCGTGCGACGTCGGAACGCGCAAAGGTTTTTGACACCGCGTCGATCGTTCAACCTTGAATCGATCGCGTCTCCGCTCGTTGAAGATTGAATTGTTCGTCGGGTCCACTGGCGTCACCGTATCTCTCGATGCGTCCGCGCCGCAGAATTCAACCTTGAACGCCTTCGCTGCCGTCGCTGGCGCACCAACGCCGCAAGGACCAATCGTATCGATACCTTTCCTCCTCCGCATGCTCAAATTGTCCCGGTGCCCTGCCCCTGCCAGCGGCACCCATCTGCCTCCGCACCACGTCCCTGCCCTGGGGGCCCAGCTCGCGCGCCGGGGTGGGGCGGCAGTCTTGAAGTACTTGCTCCTCGCGATGGCCTGGAAGCGGCCAGACCTCCCCGCCAGCGCTGCCGGATGGCCCTTCTCACACAACAGTGCGACAGGATGCTCTCTCGCAGTCGCGATTGCTCGTTGTAGCTCTCTCGGATTTCTAATGTCTCTCTTTTTGTTCCCTCACTCTCTCTCTATACATATATATATATATATATATACTAGATCTTGTTGGCTCGCTTCGCTTCGCCACAACATCTTGTCCCTCATCCTCATCCTTGGCGCAGGAGCGCTGGTCTGGTATCCCGCCGCGCTTTCTGGTCACAGAATGTGGCGAGCTCGTGAACTTCCATTGCCATGTGGGTGTAAATTTGATGTGTGTCGCGAGCTCAGCGGCTATGGGGGATGAAGCATGATGTTATTGCAGCACCGATTCGGAGGACAATGGGTTGGTGGCCGTGCCTGTGGTCGCGCTGGCGCTCGTGTTGGACACCGTGCCGGCGGGCGTGCTGGTGGCCATGCTGCTCGTTATGGTGGCGGTCGTGCGGGGGATGGTGCTTGTGGGCGGTGGTGCTAGTGGGCGGTGGTGCTGGCGGTCACGCTGGCGGCGTGCTTGTTGTCGTGCTGGTGGTCGTGGGGCCAACGTGGGCGTGGGTTTTCATCAGGAGTGAGCATGTAAGGCAGCCCACAGCCACCCGACGGGCCCAAACAATTTTTGGTTCACGTCGACGGCTGTTTTTTCGCACCGGGCCTCCTGGGCGTCTGGCGCCCTCCGGGCACGCCGGCGCCCTCAGGGCTGCGTGGGTGTGTGTTTTCGTAAGGCGTGAACATGTCCGGAAGCGCAGAGCCACCCGACGTGCCGAATCAATTTTTGCTTCACGTCGACGGGCATTATTTTCTTCGGGGCCTCGGATGGGGGGCTTCTGGCGCCCTCCGGGCACGCGGGCGCCGAGGGGCTGCCGTGTGTGTGTGGTGTGTGTGTGCGTGTGTGTATGTATGTATGTATGTGTGTGTGTGTGTCTGTTCGTGCGTGTGTGTGTGTGTGTGTGTGTGTGTGTGTGTGTCTGTTTGTGTGTTTGTGCGTTCGTGTGTGTGCGTGTGTTTTCGTACGGAATCAGCATGTGCGCGGGCGCAAAACCACCCGACGGGTTGAACCAACCAATTTTTGGTTTACGTCGACGGCTGCTTTTTCTTTTTCGGGCCCCAGATGGGGGCTTCTGGCGTTTCGGGCACGCCGTGCCGAGAGGCTGTCGTGGCTGTGGGTTTTCGTAAGGAAGAAGCATGTCCTGGGGCGCGGAGCCACCCCACGCGCTGAACAAATTTTGGTTTACGTCGACGGCTGCTTTGTCTGTTCGGCCCCAAGATGGGGTGCGTCTGGCGCTCTCCGGGCACGCTGGCGCCGAGGGGCCGTCGAGGGTGTGAGTTTTCCTAAGGATGGAGCATATCCCGGGGCGCGGAGCCACCCCTCGGGCGAAGCCAATTTTGGTTCACGCCGACGGCTTCGTTTTTGAGAGCGGGACCGGCCGGCCGGCCAACGCGCGGAGTTTTTTTCCGAACGTGGGCGTCGCGCGTCCCCCCGCGCGGCGCAGCGCTATTCGCGTGGGCACCTAATTGGGCGTCGGCGTGTACGTCGCGGCGGCCGTGGCCGCGGGGAAGGTCAGCCGGCAAATGAGTTTGCTGTATTCACACTTCTCCGTTTGCTCCGTGTAGTTCATGAAGCGCGGGGCGTGCTTCGTCCTCTTGCCGGCGGCGGCCTCGGCCAAATAATGGCCAGCCTGGGCTCCGGGGCCGGCGCGCGATGTGGCGGGGCGGGAGCCGGGCCCGAGGCCGTTCACCCATCCTGGCACCTGGGTCAAGTCAGCGGCCACGGGCATCCTTTGATGCACTCCTGGGCAGGGTCGTTGGGATGGCAGGAGTGATTGCACCGATGAATCATATGATGCAGGACGCGCTCGCGGAGTGGGCCATGTTCAGGAGGGACTTCGCACGATATGAGAGCATCGATCTCCTCGGGCGTGCAGGGGGGGTTGTCCACCGCGAGCGCAATGTGTGCATGATGGAGGCCCCGCATCTGATACTCAATCACGCGGATGATGTACCTTCTGCGCCCAGAGAAGTCGGTCTTCAGAAAGGAAACCATCTCCAGGAGTCGCGCGTGGAACACGCGGACGACGACGTCTGGTCTGTCAGCAGCGGTTTGTCCAGGCAAGAGGGCTGATTGAATTTCTGGCCAGTATGGGTTGCATGTCAGAGTGATAAAGAAAGTGGGCGGGCCTTTACGACGCGCCAGTTCCAAGCAGTCGACTCGAAGACGTCTGAGGTGGCGCGGGGACCCCGGCACGCTCGAGGGCAAGAGCACGCGGGCCACAGCAGGAGCTGGGTCGGCGGTGTTCGCAATCATCTCGCAGACCTGACGTCTAGTGCCACGCAGTTTGGGCTGGTCACGGCGGAGGAGGCTCAGTCTTTCGTCCTCCATGCGACAGTACATATTAACGAGCCATTCGTTGAGCAATCGTCCGCAAGCGCGCATGTGAGACAACCGTAGTATGCATTGCCGGTACCACCACATTTGGCTGATGTGCGCGCCGTTGACCATCGCATCCGGGCTCCACCCACGCCCGCCGGATGGGAACCACAGTGGGTAGGACAGTGGCTCGTAGAAAGGGTGTAGTGGATGGAGATACTTGGGGGCGGTGGAGGAGTTCAGTCGGAACGTGACCGTGCGAGGTTGAGCGTGGCTGTCCGTGCGCGCGTCGACGATGGCGGCGAGCTCGTTGATGTCCTCGTCCCACTTCAAGTGCACCGCTGCGTCGGGCCCAGGGCGACGTATAGTTCCGAGGCGTTTGATCTCATTCATGAACGGGTTGATGGGCAGTAAGAGGCGTTCCAGGCGACGGAGCAGCCCCACGTCTAACTGCAGGGTAGTGGCTTGTCGAGTGCGTTCTTGAGGGTCCACGACGAGATATCTCACAGCGGTGGTTTCGGCTGCCGTGAGCACTCGCCTGTACATCGTGCCGTGAATCCGGAGGTTGGAAGGACGCATGTAGTTGCCGAGTCGAAGTTCCTTCGTGCTCCCTGCGCTGTGGATCTCGTGAACAGCCAATGCGAATAAATTGTTGTAGCGGCGACTTGCTGCCGTGAACCCTGTCAGACGAGGAGAATTGGTCGTGGGATCGTGTAGAAGATGGCCCGCGGCGTCGCGAGCGGGCCAAATGAAGCGGAATATCTCCAGAAGGGCGGGCGCCGGAGGTGAGAAGAAGTGCTCGAATGTGATCGCCCACTTGCCGCTGCTGCAGCAAAACGCTGGCGTTTCGGTTGGAAAGAGGGAGGCCGCACAATGCGGGCAACTTCGGTTCATGTCTCCGACAGAGAACGGCACGTCTTGTAAGGGCGGTCGACCCACTACGCTGCATTCACGACAGACGCTGTCATGCGTCCTGTCGCGGTCGCAAGCGAAGGCTTCCCTTGGCAAGGAGAGCCCACAACGAACGCAAGTGACCTGTAGTCGGCGTCGGGACATGCCGGAAGTCTGCGGGGCAGCGGCGGTGCAAATGATGCACGCGCGGGTGGCTCGGTGGCGTTGGCGGACTGCGAAGTGCAGCCGCGGGACGTCCTGGTCGCAGCGCGTGCAATGTAACGTATCTGCGCTGGGACGTCCGCGAGAGGCCGGCCTCTTGCGCACGGCGGGGGAGTCGCCCGTCATGATCCCAATCGGCGTATGCCGAGGCGGAGCAGCAGCGGAATCCTGGAGCCAAGGGCTACGGGACATCAATAGAGCCTGGCGCGGCCGAGGTGTGTACGTCGTCGCTGTTAGTGCGGGCCTTGGCGTTTGGAGGCCTCATGGGTGGCTTCTCGGCGATCTCCTGGGGGTCTCTTGGGGCCTTGGGGGCCTCTGGAGAGTGTGTTCGGGGTATCCTGGAGCGGGAGGGCCGAAATGTCGGCTCGGATCCTGTCGTGGGGCCTTTCTTGGAGCCGTCTTGAGGGTCCCTGGAGCCGTCTTAGAAGCCTCTTGGGCCGTCTTGGGGCTGTCTTGGGGCCGTCTTGAAGGTGTCTTAAGCCGTCTGGGGGCAATCTTGGAGTCCCCATGTGGCCGTTTTGGAGAGGCGGGTGTGGCAAACGCGTAAATCCAAGAATCGTCGAAGACCATTGGAAGTCAATGAATTTTGCCTGTTGGGGCTCTCTTGGGAAGGCTCTCGGAGGCCTCTTGGGGCGTCTTGGAGGCCTCGTGGGCCTTCCTAGGAGCAACTGGGGCATCATAGAGCGGAATGTGGGCCGGTCGGACCAGCTTGGGGGTAATTTCGGGCATTGTCGGAGCTGTCGTGAGCCCGTTCAGAGCTCTTCCGGGGGGGCGAATTAGGTGACGCCCATCCGGGGGGGGGGGGTCCCTTATATTTTGATAGGGAAAAGGAATATATCACCTTCTCTCGTTCTCCAAAAACGGCGTGACACATACACACGGACACGCACACACGCACACACACACACACACACGGGGTGCCTGATGCCGCCAGCGAATTTAGAAATACCCCTCATATCCCTTTTCGTGCCACACCTCCATTGCCCCTCTCACTGCATGCCGATCTCTCAGTCTCTCTCTCTGCATCAGGCGCCTTGCCAGAATCATCGCCTGGGCCTACCATCATCCAAAGGGCAATTTGCAACATGCTCGCCTGCCTCACGTTCTCTAGTGGACATGGGGCGTTGAAAGCCACAGCGTTCACAGACTAAAGAAATGTTAGCCAACGTGGGCCCAAAACAATGCGTTTCAGACAACACATGTCTTGCGTTCTATGTGGTGTTATCAATGTTGGGCCATGTACGCGGTGCAATCTATGTGGTGCAATCTGGGGGGTTCAATCTACGCGGTTTACTCTATCATGTGCAAGCTATGTGGCGCACTGTATGTGGTAAAATATGACTCACTCGAGGTTGTTCAATCTATGTGGTGCACTCTACGTGGTGCAATCGATGTTGTGCGATCAAAAATTTGCAACCTAGGTGGTGCAACCTATGTTGAGCGTGCTGAATGGTGCAATCTATGCGGTGCAATACGTGTTGTTCACCGATGCTGTTCTCTCAACTGTTGTTCGCAATGAATTGTCAGACCCCGCCGAAATGCGCCAAAGGTCGAAGGGGCGCCAGAAAAACCAACGAGGCTCCGAAAAGCAAAGACACGTCGAAAACAACACGTACGCCAAAAACAACGGGGCGCCGACAAACAAAAAAGAAACATAGTTTGAAGTCCCCCGTCAGTTTGAATGTCCACAGAAGGAAGGAAGCCCCCCCCTTTCCAAGAGGGAGAGGTGGGGGGCAACTTCAAGCTGGGCCCCCCAGTGTAGTGAGAAGTGTATCACGAGCACGCTCTTCCGCCAGCCAGAGCCCCATAAGTGCAAGCACTGTTCGGACAATCTGGGGCACATTGTTCGTCGGTGTCTGAGGGTCCCAGATCTTACGTCGGCCCCCATGGCCATAGCCGATGTCTTCGTTCCCGTGCCTATAATACGGCGTACCCGTACAGCATGAACTTGTGCAGCCCATCCAATTGACGATGGCCACCCTTGCCTCGATGCGATTGGTGGGCAAGGGCCCACAGAAAGACACATCTGCACACGAAAGCACAGAAGCTGTGTGAGCAAATTCTGGCTGAGCTGATACCGGGTAGAAACACCGCCCCCATAGGACCTTTTGAATAATGCGGCTTCGTGAAACAAGCTCGTAGTCTCGTCGGCAGGCTCGCTCGCCGATCTCAGCGCAGAATCGCGGTGACACCACGTATCGTAATTCTCTCTTCTTGGTCGGCCAGTCTCCCATGCACGCACATACGTCCTCGCGGCGCAAAGATCCCTGTCAGCATGAACCGTGTGCAAGACACTTCAACTAGAACGAACAGGCCTGGAATCATTGCACCCCTGGCTGGGAAGATGGAGGCAAACATCGAAACGCATATTGCTAACGCGTTTCGAGTCCCCCCCCTCCACTGCCAACGTCCTTCGTTTATTACTCTCAATGCACTCGTTTCTTCCTGGTCGCCTTCTCGGCGTCAGGAATGGAGAGCAAAAAAAAGGCCCACAACTGTAAAGCCAAATGCGCTGAACTGCCTGTCACCCTTAGTCGACCCGTCATGCAACGAGACGCCCGGAACACGATCAAGACACAGGTGGTCCTCGAGTCGACCGGAGGGCCCGCCAGACCTGAGACGGCCACGAGACAGCTAAAGAAAGACATCCACAACCGTCTCGAGGCTGCGCTGACACGGTAACTGGATCTGCCGCATGCAGTTCCACCAGCCTTCGGGGCGCAAGTAATCTTCTCCTCCAGGAGGAGAAGAGATGAGGAACGCTCGCGACCCGCGAATCGCACTACGACGTGACTGGCACAGTGACGTGAAGCAGAAGATCAGCATGCACACCAGGATCGCTATACGAGCCGACCTGCCATAGGCAGGCTTTGGGCATGAGTAAGATGGGGAGCTCGTTCTGCCAACCCCCTTCGCCCCCTTCGGGGGGGCCCACCCCTCCCCCGACCCCCTCCCTCTGGAGCAAGGCCGCTCCCCCCCCCCCCCTCGAGATGTGAGAGGGCTCTTTTGCCCCCCCCGTGGCTCCACGAGGGCCCCTGAGAGCTCGTGATGCCTCCCCCGACCCCCTCCCTCTGGAACCTGGCCGCTGCCCCCCCCCCGAGATGTGAGAATGCTCTTTTTGGCCCCCCCGTGGCTGCACGAGGGCCCCAGAGAGCCCGCGATGTTCTCCAAGATCGCGATAGGTAGCCTGAGATGGCCCAAGAGAGCGACTCACATGTCCCCAAGAGCCCTCAAGATCGCCCCAGGACGGCCGCGAGTGCCCCTCGAGCCTTTCAGGGGAGCCCCCAGGAGGCAAGCATCGTCCAAAACCAGCGTATGTTGTCAATGTGTGTGTTGCCTTCTCGCCATTTCCCTTCCGATGGTCTTTCGAGGCCTCAACTTGGCTCCATGATGTGGCCCGCGGTGGCCCTAAGATGGAAGGGCCCCAAGACGGCCTCAAGAGCGCCCCTGACCGCCCCACGAGCAGCCCCACAGGGCCCCTCGGAGGCCATGTTTCGGGTCCCGGCGGGGGAACCAACATCGGTGACCCCCCCTCGGTTGATCGCTTGTCTTCAATATGGCCAGCCCAAGATGGCCTCCAATGCCTACAAGAGGGCACCAAGAGACCTCCCCCAGAGCATGATGGAAGGGCCCCGAGAGAGCTCCTAGAGGGCACAGAAGGCTTCAAAGACGGCCCCAGAGGGCCCCACGATGGCCCCAAGATTTCCCCAAGACGCTCCCACAGCGAGAGATCGCAGTCGTCTTCGTCGTCATCGTCTCCCGCGTCCCGCGGCTGCCTTGGTTGAGTGGTTGCATGTCGTCCCTCCTTGCTCGATGACCTCGCCATCGCTCGGACGTCCGTTCCCCGTGCGAGCTTGCTTTGCCAGATGATCTAGGATGCTCCTCGACGGCCCTTCGCCGAGGAAAACCGCACACGTCCGAGCGATGCCACGTGTCCAGCGCGCACGTCGTCGGTGTCCGCGCTCCCAGAGCAGCGGGCGCACGGCGAGCACTGACGGGCAGCCGCTCTGCCAGGGCAAGCCCAGGCACGCACGACGTACTCCACGCGAGCCCAGGCAACGGCAGGCCACCACTCCACCAGGACGCGTCACATCCCTGGACAGGGCAGCTCGGCTGGCGCCTGCTTTGAGATGGGCTGCTCGGGACACGCGAGGCGTCAAGCACTGGAGGCACCTCTGCAGATAGACTACGGCTTGTCCAACCTGAGTGCTGGTCATGGGAAGCCACACTATCAATGCGAGTCTGCTGGCCCGGGGCTGGTCATGACCAGGGCAATCTAACATACATGCGGCGAGATGGGTGGCGAGCGCGACTTGACAGACGCAGAAACCCTCGCTGCCAAAGAGTTGCCTCACGCCTCGCAAGTCCACCGCCGTGCCCTCGGCACGTTAGGAACATGGAAAAACCTACACCAACACCACCAGGGAAGCGGGAGGAGCCAGGGAGGGGTCCCCTTGGTGGTGTGGTCCCCCCTCTCGCTCGGGACATCCCCTATCCCTGACTCGGAGAGGCATCGTGGACCTCCTCGCCGGAGGCGGCCCCCTGGTGGTGTTGGTGTCGCTTCTCCTTCCCCCCACACGTTGGGGTGTGCCGCAGTGCATGTCAAGTGCTTGCAAGGCTTCTCCAATTTTCCCAGGGCGCCCTCTGCCTCTGTGCGACCGTTCTTGAACCCAGCCCCTGGGAATTAGCTCCCCTGCACTCGTTCTACTCTGCATGGCTTCAATCGGGCCGGGCGAAAGGGGCAGATAGCAAAGGGGGGGTTTGATAATCAGCTCAAGTAGCTGACTTTCCCGGCGCCTCCCGGCGCCGGAGGCGGCCATGTATCGAGGAATGGGCTCGGCGGCAGGGCCGAAATCAGCTGCGTGCAGCAGATTTCGTAACCACCCTTTTCCCTATCCCCCCGTTTCGTCCGGCACGATTCAAGACGTCCTCAAAACTGCCTAAGACAACCTGGATGCAACCATTACCTGCCCAGATGCCTGCAGACCAGCCAGCGACGGCACCCAAAACATGTCAGCTATGCCCTCACGGGACCCCGCGAGGCCCCGCGAAGCCCCAGAGTAGCGCTCAAACATCCCTCCGGCAAAGGTCTGCGAGACAAGGTGAACCAGAAACATAGGTCGCTTTCATCAGCGCGTGCTGGTCCTCACGCTTGTCTTGTTCTGCTAGACCGACCCCCACGAAGTTTCACAGACAACGAACAGGCTCCCAAAGGTCGCAAACGAGACCCCATGACGGTCTCCAGATGGCACCAAGATGGCCCAAGAATGCCCCAAGGCGGCGCAGAACGACCCCCAAAATGCGTCCACCGAGCCACCTGAGGAGATCTCGGCAAAACCACCAGCAAACACCCCCAACATCCCCGATAGGCCCCCAACAAGCTCCCGGCAGGCCGTCCTGGAGAGAGAAACGTGGTGCCGGCTTCTCTCGTGGAGTCGTGGAGCGGAGCAACGCAATGAACTGTGCAACTTGCGCACAAGGGGGAGGAGCGGGAAGAGGAGGAGGAGGAGGAGGAGGAGGAGCAGAGTGGGATGCTCTGAGAACGCAAGACATAGCATTGAACGAATGCAAACAGACGGGAATGGACCGAACATGGCGAAGCTGAAGCCGAGCTCAAAGGAAGCGAATGCGAAGTTCGGCTGGATCCAGGTCGTTGAAATGACAAGATCAGGCTGGAGCTAGCTAGCATCAAGCAAAGCAGTGTCAGAAAGACCAGGGCCAAATAGGAGCTGAAACCGCAGTGGGAGTGAGACAAATCCCAAATGCTGCAGAACAACCTCGACGTCACAAACGAATCAGGAAATCCGCTCTCGCGCCAAAAATCAACACAACACGTCTGGTCGAACACAGCGCTTCCATACCTATCTGACCTGACTGAAAAGGCCCGCCAGGATGAAAAATGAGTGAACGATGATCCTCTTATGCAGAGAAATTGGCTGGGCAAGGCAAACCGGCGAACGGGGTAGGTCCTCACTCCCCGCAATGCGCGCTGCCACCATGGATCTGGACCAACGCGCTGAACCCCTCTCTTGCTCCCGCTGCTGGCGTCGTACTGCAGCATGTCGACGTAGAAGGGTTCGGTATCGCACGGCAGCTCTATCCCACACCATGTGTCACCCCCTGAAATTGTGCCACCGGCGAAAAAGATCTCCATGGGCTGGTTGCCTCGGCGGGGTTGGCAAGGTGGCAGAATCAATCACGCGCACGCTCATCACACGCTTCGAATCAGAATCAGCAACCGCGAGACCTACAGAGACTCACCCGCGTTGAAGAAAAACCTGCGAGCCAGAATCTGGGCATTAGCGTTCGAACGTGCTCGCGTGCGAATGCTAAAAAATATCATGGAAAACAACCGATCTAACAATTGACCCAATCAACCCTGCAACAAGCCCCGCCCAGCCCCACAATCAGCCCTGGCCGACCATGACCAAGCCTCACGGCCAGCCCTGCAGCGGGACATTATTCCCACTCGAACACCGAGGGTGCGTCGCCTGCGCTTAGGCTCTAGCGCAACTCAAGTCAACGTCTCGACACAATGGGTGCGTATCGCCACGTCTGTCTTGCAAATGCTCTGATCCATTTGGGGTATCACTCGCACTCCTCCCGTTAACCGCCTCCCAAATCTCTCTTCCACCTCCTCTCCTCTCTACAATCAACACTGATAGCAAAGATGCGCGGTAAGAATGGAAGACCCTTGTACGCCATGTCGAGGCTCTTCGATCGGGACTGGCCGTCGGAAGTGCTTGCCGATTGACCCAAGAGGCAAGAATGCAAAGGTACCTTTCGGAAGGTTGCAGTCGGTTCGTGAGGCGTCGGCGCGCGCAAAGGCTCTTGACACTCGGGTCCTGAGGCGTTACCGTCTCCCTCGATACTTCCACGTCGTTCTATCATGCGGAACTCAACCTTGAACGACGTCGCTGGCGTCGCTGACGCGCCATCGCCGCATGAACCTACCACACTTCCTCATCCCTCTGGCGCCTCCCGTTTCGCCCGCTGTCCTCCCCTTCTCGCTTCTCTCTCCTGTCTCCTGCACATGTCCTGCCCTCGGGCTCCCATGGGACCGTGCTTGGACCATCCTGCGGCCTCAGAGGCACGCCGGAAGAGAAGGGGCAAGAAGGTGTAAGCTTCCTGGGGGCCTCTGATCTTGAGCTGTCTTGGCCGTCTGGATTCCATGTTTGGCAATCTTGGTGGCCTCGAGGGCCGGCTTGCATCCGTCCATCCTGGGCCGCCTCAGGATTGCAAAAAAACCCAGGATTGCAAAAAAACCTGGGTTTTGCAAAAAAAACCCAGGGTTTTTTTTGCAATCCTGGGTTTTTTTGCAATCCACCTGAAGGGTCCAATAGCCCCTGTCGACCCTCGGGCTCCCTCCTCTGGAGCGCTCCGGGCCTGTCTGGCGCTCTCGGAAGCCATCCATAGGGGACTCTGAGAGATCGATGGGGCCGTCTCGGGAGACTCTGGAGCGCTCTTGGGGCCGTCTTGTGGCCTTGTGGGGCTCCTCTTGGGGCATGCTTGGGCCATTTGACATCAGTCCCAGAGGCTCAGAAGTCCGTCGGATGCGACAGGGCTGTTTTCTGACACCGCGTGGACCGTTCTACGGTTGCAACTCATGGGAGCCTCCCATAGCATCTTGGTGGCTTTTGCGAATCGGCGCTGGTCAACGCTAAATCGACGCTACTCGACACTGAACCGACGCTAAACCGTGGCTACCTCATCGGCTC